CCAAATAGTAATGTTAGATGTCAGAAAACGTTTACTATAAAAGAGAATATCATTATAGGTTTTTATGGCTGCTAGCACTGTATTTATATCAATAGTCGTATGTCGAATTTTGTACTTATAATGAGACCTATAGTAAGGTGACGGCAATGAATTTTTGCAGAGAGGTGTCCAGAAAGAAAGAAGAAAATTGCCAGGCAAGTGAGAAACTAAACAGAATAAGACATAATAAGACAAACACCACCTTATACATAATGAAGTATAAGCACCACCTTATTCAAAAGACATCATCAGTCATATGATGGCAATTGCCATCATATGACTGATGATGTCTTTTGAATAAAGACGAAACTAGTCTCAAGTGAAATTGTAACTTCATTATGTATAAGGTGGTGCTGGTCCTATTATCTATTCTTAAATTCTTCACCTTAAAAAATGATTCAATAAACAGAATAAGTCTCTTATCATTTCACCCAGTCAACTTAACTAGAATACCAACTGCCCGATGAAATTTCGATTCTAACTTCTCAGAAACGAGATGAAAGGCAATATAATCATAATACCATTGCTCTTTAATCTGGTCTGCAATAAAGATGAAATTCCCTCACAATTTTTTAAAGTACGTTTTTCCGTATGTCAATAAACCACTTTATTTAAGAAAACTGCTGTAGGATCTTTTAGGCGAGAAAAGCCCTTCCGGATTTATCAAAAAGCCAAAAGCGTTTACGAGAAAGCCTATGGATATAACATCTAAAATGTGATACCCTCATGGTTTACTGATCCAACTCCCTTTGGGATTTATAAAAAAACGCTTTTTTAGAATTCGGAAGGATATGTTAAGAAACCCTATCGGTGATAAATCCTTAAGCGTTCAGGAAAAGCTGTCAAAAAACCCTTTTTCCGTTCCGAAGGAAAAATACGAAATGGTTAACGTTTTTCAAAATACGGATTTCTTTTTACAGTGCGCAGTTAGTCTTCGTGACTTGCGAGAAAAATACTACTTTTTTATTGAATGTGTAAAGAGTTAAAGCAATCACACGAGAAACACTTACAGCTATCCTAGTGAATGTACTTGATACAAGTACTTGATTACTTGATGAGTACTTGGGAAGTACATGAGCAAGAACTTGTCAAGCGTCGTTACTTGACTTGCTTCAACCAAGTACTTGGACAAGTCAGTCACCCTTTTCTTTTGCGTTGACCACTGGTATATAAACACCACGATATCAATCGTTATACACTTATAAATTTCTTAAATTATATACTTATATATTTTTATTCAGTGGAACAAACTTAGTAGCTGTGCATGTGTTTGCTGTACAAAGGTAGAATATAGCTCCAAAATATGTGTAAAATACAAAATAAAAATATATGGAACAAGTACTTAGGTGAACTTTTTCAAGTAAATTTAGTTGCACTGTGTCAGCCAAGTACTTACATTTTACTTGTCAAGTACTTTCTCAAGTACTTGACAAGTAAATTTACTTAGAAAAGTCTACAAGTACTGTCCTCATTACTTAACCCAAGTACTTGCGCAAGTACTTGGTTCAAGTACATTCACTGGGGTAGTCTTCTGCCCACAGCTATGTTAACGACTAGCAAAGAGATAGATGAATATACCACATGTAAGAAAGGTATCAGGCTTTCAACCAGAGATGTCATAATACGTATACAGAATGTATCCACTCAATATAAACGTCTTACAGTAAGAATACGGACAATACGTGCAGACTCGATACATGTGTGTATTTTAACTTGAATTACGTCTAACATTTGTAAATAAGACAATAAAAATATCATAATATTCAAATCACAGAGTTTTTCAACAAAGCAATATTTATTTGGAAGGTTTTCCAACTACTGTTTGCTTTTCTATACACAACGTCATGTTTTGTTTTCTTATTCTCTATCTTCGATCGTACAAAAAAAAAAGAAATATAGTTGGGAGAGTTTTAGAACAATAAAAATATGATAATAACGTGCGATAGAATAAATGGTGGTCTCAGTATTTCCTCAACGGTTTTTTCAATTTTCATCAGTCATACTTAGTTTTTTTTAAAATACTCCCCGTTCAATTCTCCACACAAAATATATTGGACATTTCGCTATATACTATAAGTATAAAAAATATAGAGGAAATACAAAAAGCTTCACTATCAATTACTTTCAAACCCAGAAAACACTTTTTTCAATGTTAGTCCTTTATATTTTGCGATGTAAAAAACGAGAAAATGACCGTTTTGTAGTTCTTGAAAAGCTCCATCAGCTGGCTATATTTAAAACTCGTCAAAGGCACAGACGGTTAGAGTAGGATTGTTTTTCTTTTAGTGATTGGCCTAAAATCATCATTCTCTAACTGCAGTTTTCAAGCACTTAGGAAAATCTGTATGATTCGGTCAAAAACCATGAGGTCGATAATAAATTTTGACATCTGTCGAAGACCAAATAATTTTATCCATGAGTTTAATAAGTAGGACATATGACCACTAAAATAGTAGGTTATTCAAAGTTACTGTTCTTAAAAGACAGTTTGCGAATAATGTGATAGCCACACTTTCTCTTAACTGAGAGGAGTTGAGTTCTCCCTAGTTATACCACTAGACGGTGAAGCCATAAATTACGAAACTTAACAAGAGAGAAGAGGGGAACTGTATGAGTTGGTTAATGGGAATAGGAAAATCAAAGATGATTCTCCTCTTCTACGTCAAAATTTTACAATTCCGCTCGTTTCGTCATTAAAGTTAATAATGTTCCTTTCTCCTTATCAAATTTTGTAATTATCCTAATTGTAAAATTTAGTGAGTGGGGGGAGGAAAGGAGTAATCTAAAGATTTTTAATTCAAATCGTTTTAAAAGCTGTTTTGTCCTTGCACGATATTTTGTTTAAAGTGCAGACAAGGTCCATGGTGTCTGTCGTCTTCCTTTGATACGATTTCGGATGGCATTTTCCATCCTCTGCCAAAGAAACTAATGTGAATAGATAGCTACCCTATCTGAGACATTTTTTCAAAGTTCAGAAAAACCTCTTACGACAAGTCACAATTAAGTTATAAATACTTTTTGGATAAAAATTCCAACTTTATTTGCCTGCAACATAGGTGCATGTAATCAAATGGAACATTTGCTTGTACATCAAAAAATATTGATAACAATGGACTTGCACCAAGTATACCTTCAACAGATAATTGACCATTATTTAATTCAGCTTGATTTGATGCAATCACATATTGCTGATGTGTTCGCGGTGATGATGGACTTGTTGTAACATATGGATAATAAACATTATTACTACCATTGGCTAATATGTTTCCACGCTGTAAACAGCGAGAACATGCATAATATCCATTATGCTGCTTTATAAAGATACATAATGATCGACATGGTAAATCAGCTTTAAATAATTGAAATTTAAAATTATTAATAACAAATATATAATCACTAGCTAACAGTAGTTTTAATTCATGTACTAAATGTGCAAATAAAATAGATGCTGTTGGTTCATTTTCAGATAAATATAATCCAAGAAGTCATTTGTTTTTAGGATATTCCCAACATGGAGGTGGTATTTCAATGATTGTTCCGGTAATAACATAAAATTTCTTTGATTTCATTGTTACTATACTCATACCATCAGCATGTAACATCAAAGTTAGTTGATTACATTTAATATTAGCATGTAATTGTTTATAAACTGAACCATTAATGACATCGTTTGGTAATAGTACATGCGCATGTTTAGGATAATCAAGTATTAATGATAGACTACGTTTCGTTATACATTTAATACGTTCAACTAAATTTCCATAACACAATTCAGTTATACCATCTGTTGTCCGAGATTTACCATAAAATAAACACCCAGTTGTACAATTACCTACTGATGGATCAACCTGTTGATAGCAACGTACACATTTTGTTTCGTATAAAAAAAATTCTCTTTTTCTTAATGAATGTACAATTCCTAATCGTGTAAGATTATGTCCAGATGGTAAAAGATATAATAACAAAGATATTAAACATAATACATACGTAAAAGCTAAATTAGACTTAATAATAAAACTTTTTATAGCTTTATATGCATCACCAAGAGTTAATGTTCCGCCTTGACATAAAACATAAAAAGGAAAAAGAAACAAATACCCATTAAATAAACAAAGAAAAGAGAAATGAGAACAGTAAATAGAAAATATAATTTAAGAAAACAAGATAGGAAACATTAAGTTGAATAGTGTGAATATTTGTTCTATTTCTTCTATATTTGTCATATACAGCACGAATTTTAGTAAAGTTTTGAATTTTGGAATGTTGTAGACTGTAGAGAATTTTTCGTATGCTACTGATGAAGATGAAATCCGTAAATAGGAACGTTTAGCAATTTCAAAATAAATACGAAAAAAGCAATTAAGTCAATAATATCAAACCTTGATATAATGTTTCATTTCCTGTTTCAATATCATTGTCATCTTCCTCAGCACTATCATCATCGTTATTGCTCTCATCATCGTCATCTTCTTCATTCATGTTGTCATCTAAATCGATCGCTCCAAAAAATCGTTCAATGTCGTAGTTAGTATTATCAACAGAAAGATTTTCTTCGTCACCACTGATGTTCACCTCATTTTCACTATGACTAATATTTATATAATTGTCATCAGTACTAAAATTCATAACATTTGCTGTATCACTAACATTTCTTGATTGTAATTTTTGTTCTTTCTTGTCTAATATATTGTTTATATTATCACAATATTATTTTTGTTTTCTGGTATTTGTGCTTACGTTCATTGAAATA